CTACACCATTTCCCTTCCACTCTCCCTCCAGCTTGTCCCATAAATTTCTAACCTCTTATTCTTTATTACTGATTTATACATGCAGGCATACATATAAATTTATAAATAAGACCTGATGAGTCCGTTCAGTGTTGCTCCTATGTACATAATTTTAGGATTTACGACATGGGATCAGATACCATTCAGGGGACTCATCCCTGGAGGAGGCTGATTCTGTCCCTCTGCAGCCATTTATTGCTTGTACTTTGTCATCTCCATTACAGTGTGAAGTAAATGATGAAAGCAAGTGTTCCAATCTTAGAGGGAAAACATTCAGTTGTTCACCATCTTTCATCTGCCTTTGTCAATTAAAGAAGTTCTACTCTTAGATTTTTAAGTTGTTTTTTTATTATGAAATTGTTAGAAATTGTCATGCTTTGTAAACATATATTGAGCTGGTTATATATTTTGTTCTGTAATCCATTAACATGGTATATTATATTGTTTGATAGTTATATGTTAAGCCAAACTTGCGTTCTTTAGATAAAGTCCAATTTTGAGGAGTCTCAGTAATCTTAGTCTCCTCTATCCCTCTCCTCTCTGTTCCTAAGCTTCTCTTGGTTTTAGTTATTGGGTGTTATTTTTCAGCATTCCTTATTTTCCTTGTTTTCTAGCACCAAAGATCATTTGTACATTTCTTACCCCAAACCTGGAATCAGGTATTGTGTGCCGTCCTGCCTCCCCATCCCCATGCCCCTTGGAGCCTGTTCCTTAGTAGTAAACTACAATTGACATTCTGCTTGGGTGACATGGCTTCCAGCTCACGTGCTGTAATGCATAGCTGTTTCATTCTCCATTCTAGGATATAAACTCATGGTTTTTCTTTTTGGGGGAAAAAAAGCAATGGACGAAACAAAGCCAGAAGATTCCAGTTATTCAGATTTATAACTGATAAAAATAGGCAATGATATACTTTGAAATATGTGCATGTAGTTTAAAAAAATGTAGGTGGGCTGGCAAGATTATGTACCAGGTAAAAGATTACTGTCAAGCTAAGTTTAGTCCCTGAAGCCTATATGGTAGAAGGAGAGAACCAAGTCCCACAAGTTGACTTCTGGGGTGTGTGTGTGTGTGTGTGTGTGTGTGTGTGTGTGTGTGTGTGTGTGTGTAGATTAGGAGTTCAAGCTCAGCCTTAGTTACATATTGAGTTTACGTGTGTGTGTGTGTGTGTGTGTGTGTGTGTGTAGATTAGGAGTTCAAGCTCAGCCTTAGTTACATAGTGAGTTTACAGACCAGCATCAAACTGTCTCAGAAAAAGGGGACAGCCAGAAAAGAAATAATACAAATTAAGAATGCTAGTTTTTTGAGAATCAGGGGAAAGAGGTACAGTGAAATAACCACACTTACCCTATTAAATTATTGATAGGTCTGATAATCTTCTCCTCCATGTCAGGAGTACATTCTAAACTTGTCTCTAATGGATGCCTGAACTGCAAACCGTGTTGAATACATATAGTAAAGTTTAATTTATGAATTAGGCACACTGAAAGAATAACAGTAATATAATCATTAGAACAACATACTGTATTAGAAGTTATGTAGATACGGCCTCTTAGCATATCTTACTATGTTTTTCATTGAAAGAGAGCACTTTACACCTTTTCTTTGTCAACATCACTTGGCACTTCAGGGACATTATTAAGTAAAAATAAACATTACTTGAACACAGCACTCTAAGTGCAAGTCAGTGGGTTTGATCCTGATGCTGCTGCTGAGTGACCTGAAGGCAAATAGCAGACACAAATAATTGGCAAACAATTGTTCACAGCCAGCTGGAGAGAAGAGGGCATCTGAGATTGCATCACATTGTTTAGACTGGTGCGTAATTAAAACGTTATAAATTATTTATTTCTGGAATTTTATGTTTGGTATTTTCAGACTACAGCTAACTGAAACTACAATAAGCAGAGCCATAGATAAGGGATAGATGTCTGTTTTGCTGTTAGTCTGGAAAATACACATAGGATCCAGTCTTTGTATGAAACAAAACATTTCACATTTCTGAAATCTGAAGGTAATCATATACAGTGATGGTCTATTATTTCCCTACTTTATATACTTATTCTTTATATAATTTCCTGTCTAAAGTAGATGGGAATTTTTTAAAACCATGACCTTAATTTTTCTATGCTGTTAATGACATTAAGTAAATTAGATACATATACTCATAAAGTTAACTTGACCATTGTAGTGTGTTTTATAAATCTAAACATGAATAATCAAGAGTTTATAAGGATAGAATAACCTTTTGACTTTCATATAGACAGACACAAAACATTCCAAACATATAAGAAATAAGAACACAGCTGGGAGGTGGTGGTGAATGCCTTAATGCCCGCACTCGGGAAGCAGAGACAAGCAGATATCTGTGAGTACAAGGCCAGCCTGGTCTACAGAGTAAGTTCCAGAACAGGCACCAAAGCTACAAAGAGAAACCCTGTGTTGAACCCCTCCCTGCCTCCCAAAAAGAACACATGTATTGTTGGTTGGTGGTGGCACACACCATTAACCCCAGCAGTTGGGAGGCAGAGAGGCAGGCGGCTCTCCCAAGTATGTACCAGCATGGTTTCTAGAGTGAGTTCCTGGACAACTAAGGCTACACAGAACCTCTCTCTTGAAAAAACAAAACTGAACAAAAGCATACAAAAATCTATGTTTATTAAGGTCCACTCAATGTAAATAGTTCCTGTCAAAGAATCATAAAATAGGTCTTTGTGTTTTAGAAAGTAGAATATGCAGTTAAGAAAATTATGGCACTATAATCATACCATCAACATGAATGGATCTTAGAAAAAGCCAGTTAATTATATGCTATATGATTCTATTTGCAAAGTTAAGACAGGCAGAATAATAAAGAATGGAAAAACAGAATGGCATAATACTTCTTATCTGAAAAGGGACATAGAGGCAGTTTCTGGGGGTGCTTACAGTATTATGTTTGTCAGTCCATGTGCTTACAAGATTAATTGACTTGGAACAGATTTTTCAAGATCCACATTTATTGTATATTTTCCTGTACTTTGCACTTCTGTAAAAGACCAAAAATTGTAGGCAGAGAAGAATTTGACTGTTTATACATGCTTTTGCTTTTATGTTTGTAAACTTTCTAGGATATGTAAGAAACTGATATGCTTGGTGCAATACAGGATGCCAGGAAGACTTTTAAGATCTGTTTAGGCAAAGCATTAATTGCTGATGGAATGAATGTATCTTGTTTTCCCTGTGTTATCACCTGTACATTGTTACTGGCATGTTTTCCCGCCAGCCTGGTCCCACAGCTGCATCAGCCCTAAATAACACACAGAGACACAGTATAGATATAAAGCTGTTGGCCTGTTACTAGTATTTCTTATAGGCTAGCTCTGTCTTAAATATTAACCCATTTCTATTAATCTAAGTGTTTCTGAATTCTTTCTGAATCCTCCTTCTCTCTCAGTCCCACCTATCTTGCTTTCCTAGAGGCCAACAGGGCTTTATTCATTAACCAATAAGAGAAATATATTTGCAGAATGCCTCCCATCCATACATGGTGCATATTCATTCACCATCAATTTTGTGGTCAACATAAGAATCTCTGCATAATATATTTACTCAATTTTTGGAAAGTTTGCATTAACAAAATGGATAGAATGGAATTAACTCCTATCAGTGATTCCCAGAAAGTTGGGGGTAATATATATTCACATAAAATTTGCAGATGTGAGTATGTACTTAAGGAAGTCCAACCATTAGGGCAAGGATCATATTGGGCTCTTGGAGAGATAGAAAAGTAAGGCAGATATCCAAATGCAAATGTGCTTTTCTTTCTTTTGAGCAGCCAAGTGGTTAGGTACCAGGCACTCACTTGAAGGAACCTGTGAACAGCTCTGATATGTCTCTAAACAGCTCTCAATTGCATCACAAATACTGATTTGTGTAGGAGTGAGTGAGTGACAGAAGCCCTGCCTCTATCTACCCTCCTTTACTTCTGAGAAGATTAGTTACCATCATGATGAGAGATGGTATAATATAAATTTCAACGAGTGGTACTCTGTGCTCACCTGGTGATAGCATACTTTCCTCAGTGTAGTTTTTATTTAAGTAATTCAAATTTGAGTATCCAGAATGAGTGAAAATAGCTTATGAAGTACACACCTTCCTCTCTGTGTTTATTTTCTCTGTATTTTTGTTGCCTTGCAACATGTTTTAGCTTTCTATCTGTCTGTCTGTCTGTCTGTCTGTCTGTCTGTCTGTCTGTCTGTCCATCTGGCTTCTTCTTGTCTAAATATTTTTAAAGCATTGTGCTTCTTTTATGTGATCATATGTTTTGGGGTTTAGAGAGAGAGAGAACACTCTTAAATGCTGTAAACAATGGAACATTAATTCAGATGTGTAAAAACTGTCCTTTATTTCACGTGTTCCTTCAATAAGTAATTGTTATTATTTTGTGCTGTTTTTTTTTATTTGTGTGTGCGGGTAGTGTGTGTGTGTGTGTGTGTGTGTGTGTGATGGAGGGAGTGCATACATGCTAACTCAACTTTGTTGAGTTAGTTCTCTCATTTGACCTTTATGTGGGTTCAAGGGATTGAACTCCAGCCATCCTGGCATTGTTAGGGTTACACAAGTGCTTTACAGTTGAACCACCTTGCTGGGTCTATTCTCTTTCCCTGTCTCCTTCTGCCTCCCTCCTTAAATGTTTCTTATTACATTCATTCATCCATTCATTTATGTGGGGTGGATAGGTATTGTTATTGTTGTTGTTTGTGGGGACTGAACCAGCAGTTTTGGACAAGCTGTTTACCCCAGAGATAAATCTCCACCCTGTTTGTTCTTTATATATATATGGTACAAAGAGTTCAGAATTTTCAAAATGATCGTGTGTGTCTTCCATTTTATCAGCCCAGGAGTTGCCCATGGCCCAGCCACACTCTCTGAATTTGACCATGGTGTTTGTTCTATTTTCTTTTTTATGCATGTGGTAGGTGGAAGAGCTGTTGATGGCCATGGAGAAGGTGAAGCAGGAACTGGAGTCCATGAAAGCTAAGCTGTCCTCCACTCAGCAGTCCTTGGCAGAGAAAGAGACACATCTCACCAATCTCCGGGCAGAGAGAAGGAAGCACCTAGAGGAAGTTCTGGAGATGAAGTAAGCCTCACACTGTTGTTCTTTGGGCTCCACTGAGTTGAAATGCTTCTGGTCATTTGTTCTTGTATCTTTGTGCATTTCTCCATTACACTTAGCCTAATTGTAATACCAGCTGATTTCTCCTACTTTCTAGAAAAAGTTTTGTCAAGCATGGCACAAATTCTGCTCAAATTGCATTGTTTTTAGTTCTTTTGCACCTAATTTTAGAGTGTTATGACATCTATTTCTTGGAATTTCACCCTGCAATGCTTAAATTCTTCTGGAAGGTTCAGTTCAGCTGGGAAGAGGCTCCTGTTTCTAACATCTTACTACCATCTCCTATCATAGACATATTAAAAAATTCATATTCTAGGACTAGCAAAGTGGTCTACCCCATAAAGGTACTTTGTGAAGCCTGATGACCTCATTTCAGTCCCTAGACCCATATAAATGTGGAGGGAGAGCCAATTTCACAAAGCTGTTTCCTTACTTTTCACACAGGTGCTTTGATACACACACATACACATGCAATGTAATTTTTTAAATTACAGAAAACACTCTAAGCCTTTCCACATATATATATAAGAGTAGAACAGTATAATGAATTTCCATAGATTTACCACTGATTTGATAGTTAGTATTTTGCCACAGCAGACACCAGCTTTTATAAAATTGTCACTTTCAGCACAGCATAGCTGTATGCTGTTTTCCTTCTTGCCTCACATTGTATAGGTCCCTGAGATTGAAATCTGTATCTGCTAATACATGTGGAGTATTCTTTTCATACTCCGTGAAATTTTTTAGGAAACAAGTATGTCACTTGAAATTTTACAGTTTCAATTACAATTAACAGTTATCACTCACTTGTAGCGCTCTGCTGCTCTGCCAAACCCAAGTTTCTGGTGCTGTCTTCACGTTGCACATGATGTCACACCAAGTTGTCTGTATTTGTTCCGGCTTCTTATCTTTGTCATCTTACTCGCTGGTCCCTTCTCTCTGATATTGCTCAATTTTCTCTCATATGATCTTTCCTAGCCTATTATCCTCTCTACTTCAATACACAGTCTCTCTTAGCTAAAATAAGGGTGTTTTTTTTTTCCCCCCTTCCTTTCCTCCTCCACCCCCACCAACTAATCCTTTAAGCTGTTAATGTCTGTTTTGTCTGTTTTCTGTTGCTTTGAACTGTGGATACATTGTGAATACCTGGATAGATCTTGCCAGGATCCCTGGAGAAACTGGCCTTGTGAAAACAGCGATATGAAGTTTTTTTTTTTTTTTTTTTTTTTTTTTTTTTTGTACCTCTTAAACTCTGGTTGATCCATTTTCTTATCAGAACTTTCCTACTCAGTTCAGATGGTAACTTCCAGAAATACAGAAGTTTGTTTGCTACTGGAATTTCCTTTTATTATTAAAACTTTGAGACTGTATGAAACATATTTTTTAAATGCTTGAATGAAAGGTAATTGTGTGTGATTTGTTTTGTAGTAACACAGTACCAAAGTTTATTATAAATTTCCCTCACCACCCTATTCCAGGAAAATAAACACTATGATTAGCAAAACTTATCAATAAGATCTTAACTCTCACATAATAAACAGAGTAAAAAAATATAGAGATATGTGTCAACAGTATAGAAATTAAAAAAATTAAATAAAACACTAAACCCCTGCTTTTTAGGGATGACCCATTTCTTAAATCACTTTCTCAGTTGCCCATGTTGTATTACTATGACATTGTGATTTTCTTTTTAAAGATTTCTTTATGTTTTTATTTTATGAGTATTTGCCTACATGTGCATCCCATATGTATCTGGTGCCTATGAAGGCTGTAAGAGGGCATTTTGTAAACAGGGTTACAAATGGTTATGAGCCACCATGTGGGTGCTGAGAATCCAACCTGGATACTCCTGAAGAGCAGTCAGTGCTCTTAACCACTGAACTTTCCTTAACCCTCATTATGATGTTTTGATTTAGATATTTCACAAGCTTTGTGCCATGTATACTATACCATCTGAAAAGCTTTAACAGTGGCTCAGGATTTACATTACACTTAAATTCTCTGCTATCTTCTGTAAGTGTTTACCTAAATTGTTCTAGTGTTAATGAAAACTCTTGAGATAAAAACCTAATAAATCTAAGGAGGGGTGATGGGGTAATCCTACTTTCCATGTCTTTTCCATCACAAAGCCCTGGAAATCTTCCAGGAATCCTTTTTTCTCTTCTTGCCCCTCTCTGTTCGACTTCCTCAGTCTTCCAACAACTCTATGGCTAATCCTGATCAGCTAATTGTTGACTCTGTCCTTGGTATAAGGTGACTTTTTTGGTGTAGTGTGCGTGTGCGTGTGCGTGCGTGTGTGTGTGTGTGTGTGTGTGTGTGTGTGTGTGTGTGTTGTGGGGGGGCAGTACTAATAGTTCTCCTGAATCATTTTCCCCTTTTTGTCTAAATAAAAAGGAAGGGTTTAAAATCTAACATAGTAAAAGTATATACAGCAACAGTTATTAAGTAAGAAATGCATTCAATGTCCAGCCCATTAGTATTTGGCAAATTCAAAGAAAATACTCCATTATCTGTCCTATTTTGCTGAGTCCAAAGTTTTGTACCTGATTTACTTTCTATCAAAACTACTAAATTCCATATTCCATATGTTTCTGAAGTGTTTGAAGACCATCTAGCTATTTAAAATATGTCTCGTTTGACCTTGAAAACATACCTAACATGACTATAAAGTTTATTGTTATAGATGACTAGCTACCAACCTATTTTCCTTAATAGCTGTCAAGGACTAGAACTTTACATATTTAAATGAGCTGCATAGGTGTAATACCTTAAACAAAAAGAGAAACATATAGTGTAACAAAAATAACCTTAAATTTTTATTAATATGCAAAAATATCTTAAATGAGTAAAAACATATATACAGTATAACAAAAATAACCTTAAATTTGTATCAATATACAAAATCTATACCAGTGTAAAATATTGAGACTAGTGGTTGTATTTTTGGTTTGAAAGTAGATTCATTTCTATACCCCCCCCCTTTTTTTTTTTTTTTTTTTTGCAGAAGGAGATCTCTGGATCTAATGTACCTTAAGTTTTCTCCCTGACCTTGATCAGTAACAATTTGTAACCAACCCCCCTAAACATCAAGTAAACAACCAAAAACCTACCCAACGTCTTGTGCATGTGCCCATCGTGTTCTTAAATTTACTTTTCTGCTCTGGGGGCAACAACATCTTTAGGGGGACCCTGAAATTTTGAGATAAAGATCAAATCCTGGGTGTTGACCTGTCTCAGTGTGATGGGAAAGTACAAGGCTTATCTGAAGCTCTGGGTAGAGTAGTCTGTGAAGCTAGATAATCTTGGCTAAGCGCCTTTAAATTGTTCTCAGCAATTTGTAATTCAAAGCTGATCTTTGGGTCATGTTTGTCAGTTTAGTGGCATTACCACAATTCAGGTGAAAAAGGAATTGTTTTTGTGAGATCCCATCATCCTTTTGGAGACTTCAAAGGTCCCTCTTAGGAATGGTCATGGTTCTTTGTAGAAAACTTAAACTTTTTAAATGTCATATGCAGCAGATCTTGGAGAGATTAAAGGACCACAGTCTATTAAAAACATCCAGGATACACCAACTTAGTTCATAGTTACCTGTCTCATGCTCAAGTCTGAAATTAAGTACAGGAAGCTAGATGAAGCCTATTTCCAGAATTAGTTAGTACTGTATATGACCATTCATATAATGGCAGAAAGTTTAAAATGTGTGTGTGTGTGTGTGTGTGTGTGTGTATGTCTTATAAATTTTGAGATAATATTTGTACCTTAAGAAAAGTTTTAAAGTGTCAGAATAAAACCAAAGGATTATGAGATTAGTGGTAATAGTATAGCGAATGCATACCATATGGCACGGCTGCTTCTTTAAATCTCTTCAAATCTAAAACTTCTACAGGATTCCAGTCAACTTCTGCATAGCCTTGGGGATGCCTATCATCTAGTGGTCGTTCTTTTATGGTAACTGTATAAACTAACGTTGGTTTTCTAATAACCTTGGGCTGTTCCTTTTTAATTTCTTAATACAATAGTGTGGTAAATTCTGCTCTAAATTCCTAAGTCACATGTGTCTGAATATTTTTCTTATTTTCATTAGTACTTCTTTCTAAGGCTTGTATCTTTATCAGAAGTAAGTTTTCTTGGATCTTATCAGTAGTCTTAAGTTTTGTATCTTATCAGTCAAATTTTCATATTTGGCACAGTTATCAAACCACTTTAGTAATAAAATATGAATTACCAAACTGATAATAATTAAAATTGGTATTTTGTCAGTTCAAGCTGATTTATCCCATCATTTACTTTTTGCATCTGCAAGGCATCATAGTAGCACTAAACAGGGTCTTAACTCTCTTTAGCATGGGAAAGGTCCCCCTTTTTATTTAAAAAACAAAAACAAACAGCTAATTTCCCTTTAAGAATTCCCAGGTGTCGGCTTTAATCCCAGCAGAGGCCAGCCTGGTCTACAGAGCTAGTGCCAGGATAGGCTACAAAGCTATACAGAGACACTCTGTCAAGAAAAAACAAACCAAAAAAAAAAAAAAAAGAAGAAGAAGAAGAAGAGGAATTCCCAGGTGTCTCACCACAACAGCCTAGGTAGAGCGGGCGTGGGGGGTGGTAATTAGTTGCAGAGTTGCAGTGTTGTTCTTTGTACTCACATTTTTTTAAATACTCGATGTTTGGCTGTGCTTGCAGGGAGGGCAGGCTTCGAGTGCAGGGTCCCCTGAGCCATGCTCATTGCACATGTGGGCTGGGACCACTGTGGCTGCTCATGTGAAATGCAGGGAGAGGGGGTCAGCTGTAGGAGGAACCCACTCTGCTGGGACACAGCATGAGAGAGAACCAAGCTGCCTGCCTCTGGCAGGACACATTCTAGCCAAAGACACCCACATGTGGGGCACTGGGGATGAGAGGGCAGGGCAGGCTAGTGCACCGCACAGCCTGCCTGAAGGACAGAGTGGGCTGGCCTTGGGGGTTGT